AGTATTTTTTAATTCTTTTTGCTCCCCATTTTGAAATAATTTATGTCTAGGATAATATATATAATATTAGTTAATCTCATACTATTTTTAAAATATTATTTCTGAAGAAAGGGTGATGTCCAAACCAATTGATTTTCCTTTGTAGTTAGTAATATTTCAGAATAATCAGTTTTTCTTTGTTCACTGCCTTGAGGTGAAAAAGTATTTTATCTCTGTTTGCTACACATTTCAAGACCATGCTACAATAATACAACAGTGTCAGTTTAATGTGAAAATTCTGCATCTACAAGGTGTTTCCAGTCACAACATAAGCCCAACTGATTCTCACCAGGGCAAAGAATATTTGTAAAGAAATACTTCTGTGAAAGCCATCAATCACTGTCATTTATTTATAGTACACAGTTGAAAAGGTAAAACTTGTAGTGGAAGATAAATATTAAAAGAAATGTTAAAATCATCATTCAACAAATGGCTTTGTTTTTGCCAAATATAGCTACTGACTGACAATACGTAATTTATATAAATGAGATTTAGTAGCAAGGGGACACTGTACACATATAATGCCACTATTCTTTGTAACAGTTTATTAGAAAACTAAATTAGCTTACTAATAACTTTAATATTAAAAAACACCATGATATTCAGTTAATTGGATATTTATGGGTTTGTTTTTTTTTTAACCTCCAATATAGTTGTATCTCTACAAAATAATTCTAACTGCTTTATTCCCTCCTCACATTTTCTGTCATATCTGTGAAACATCTGTATAAGACTCCACTTAAGTCAGAGTGTTAGTAATAAAAGATCTATTATCATCAGTCTGAGTTCAGGCTAGTGATACTTTCTAACTTTAACACAGAAAATCCTTCTTTTAAAAAAAAATCCTTGAATTAGATAATGTCTTATTTAAATATCTTTTCTATTTCATTTCTTTCTCAACCTAAAACCTTATATATAATGTTCTATACTACATGCATGAGAATCTTAAGAAGACTGCATTATGCTTAAAAAAAGTAAACAAAAGTATACCCTCACAAGTTTACACTTCATACATTTTGTTTGATTATGATGACTGTATTTGCAAAGTGCATCCAGGATAACTCATATCCATGCAGCAATCTAGTTTATAAATGGCTCTAACACTTACGGAGATCGCAAGAACCCTGTTAGACAGGTACATCTTATGCCCACTTATATTTTCAAGAGAAAGTCAAACAGGAAACAGAAATTTGCATGGGAATATATGCACATCACAGCACTCTTAGAACTCACAGAACAATTTAAGATAAAAAGAGAGCTCAGGCTTCACAATTAATTGTTTTCTCTGCCTTATTCTTCTTTGACTCTAATAAATATGAAAAGAACTAAATAAATGGAAAGATATACCATGTTTATAGAACAGAAGATTTTCGATGTTTAATATCTATTCTCCAAAATTGACTATAAGATAAAATTAAATTTAAATAAAAACCTTAACAGGCTTTCTTTGTAGAAATGAATTCAACTATGGTAACAGAAATCAGAACAGTAGTGGCAAATTGGTATTGGGCAGGAACTGACTGGAAGAAGATATGAGAAACAATCTGGGAAGATGGAAATATTCTGTATTTTTGTTGGCATATATGGTTACGCAGGTATACATGCACTTGTCAAATTTCTAAGAATTGTCTGTTTAAGAGTTGGATGTGGAATGCTCCACAATATGATTATTCTTTATTTATGTGGTTAGCACATCCCATGTGATCAGATACTTCAATATATTAATAGTAAGTCAGTCCTTCTGTTTAAACAAATACATAAGTAATCTAACTGAAAATAACATAAACTCACACCATTCATAATGCATTTTATAATCAGGGAAGGATATATAAAAGAAGTAAATATCATAAACTCTGCTTCAAAAAATTAATCCAGTTATAAATATTATTTTTTAATTTGTATTTATCTGACTAAGAGTTAGAGCTATTCATAAAGTTTTCATTTCATTTTTTATTTTAGTAGTTGTTTCGTTTTTATTTATTTGACTATTTAGATTTCTTCTTTTTGAATTGCTTCCTCTTACTACTTGTTCATTTTGCTGTTGGGTTTCCAGACTATTTTATTTATTTGTAATAGGACTTAATTTTTCTGCATATAAATTCTTAGTTGGTTTCAATAAGGGCACGAAGAAGACACATGGGGGAAAAATAGTCTCTTCAATAAATAGTGTTGGAAAAACTGGATATCCACAAACAAAAGAATAAAATTGGACCCTTGTATTACACTATACACAAAAATCAACTCAAAATGGATTAAAGATCTAAACCTAAGACCTGAAACTGGTAAAACTCCTGAAAGTAATCATAGGAGGAAAGCTCTTAGACTTTGATCTTGGCAATGAATTTTTGAACAGGACACTGAAAGTACAGGCAACAAAAGCAAAAATAAACAAGTGGGACTACATCAAACTAAAAAGGAACTAAAATGAAAGAGCATTCTACAGATTGGGAGAAAACATTTGCAAACCATATATAGTAATCCTCTTTTATCCATGGGGGATAAAGTTCTAAGATCTTCTGTAGATGCCTCAAATCATGGATAGTACTGAACCCTAGGTATACTTTGTTCTTTTATCTGATAACCAAGATAGCTATTAAGTGGCTAATGGTCAGGTAGTATTTATGGTGTGGATATATGGCTTGTGTGGGACAGAGTGGTACTGTGCTAGATTTCATTGTGATACTTACAACAGCACAAAATTTAAAACTTATGAATTGCTTTTTTCTGGAATTGTCCATTTAATATCTTCAAACCACAGTTAACTGGAGGTAAATGAAACCGCCAAAAGCCAAATCATGGAAAAGAGAGGATTACTGTATCTGATAAGGGTTAATATGCAAAATATATAAGGAAGTCACACAAATCAATAGCAAGAAAACAGCCTGACTGAAAAAAAGGGTAAAGGACCTGAATAGACATTTCTCCAAAGTCAACATAAAAATAACCAACAATTATATGAAAAGGTGCTCAACATCGCTAATTGTCAGGGAAATACAAATGAAAATGCAACGAGATACCATCTCAAACCTTTAGGATGGCTATTATCAAAAAGACAAGAGATAATAAGTGTTGCTTAGGGTGTGGAGAAGAGGCAACTCTTGTATACTGTTGGTAGGAATGAAAAGAGGTGCAGACATTATGGAAAACACTATGGAGGTTCCTCAAAAAATTACAAGTAGAACTACTATATGACCAGCAATCTCTCTTCTGGGTATATACACAAAGGAAATGAAATTAGCACTTTGTAGAGATATCTCCACTTCCATGTTCAGTGCAGCATTACTCACAATAGCCAAGATAGGGGAACAACCTAAGTGTCCGTTAATAGACTACAGAATCGAGAAATTGTGAATATTTTTCAGCCTTAAAAAAGAAGGAGATCCTGCCATTTCAGAGAACATGGATGAACCTGGAGGACATTATGCTAAGTGAAATAAGCCAGCCATAGAAAGAAAAATACCGCACGATCTCTCTTATATTTGGGATCTTAAAAAGCCAGTCAAATATATAGAAAAAGACAGTGGACTGGTAGTTACCAAAGGTGGAGAGGAGGAGGGAATGGGTAGATACAGGTCAAAGTGTACAAAGATAAATAAATCTATAGATCTAATGTACAACATGAGGACTATAATTAATATTCTACTGAACAGTGGACATTTGCTAAGAGTAGACTTTATGTGCCCTTACCACACACACAAAAAGGTACTATGTGAGATGATGGAAATTTTAATTGGTTTGAATGTATTAATCATTTCATTATGAGTGTATATATATTTATCTATCTATATACATATCTCAAAACATCATCATGCCCTACACCTTAAATATATACAATAAAAAGTCCTAATTGCCTATATGCATTCCAAATATTTTTCACATTGTTTGAATGACTTTTGTTTTGCAAAAATGTCTTTTTCTTTATAGAATACACTTTTTGTCATATTTATGAACTAGATATATACTCTTTTAATATTAATTGTTTCTAATTATTTTCTGACTTCTATTGTAACTTCTTTGTTTATCCATCAGTTATTTAGAAGTTATTTTTTATTAATTTATTATTTTTCATTTCCAAAGGAATGGTAGGGATGAAAGGGAGCACACAAAAGGAGAGGGTGGGGATAAGGAAGGGGAGGTTACCTTTTTGCTTCTAATTTCTAATTTATTACATTTTGATCAAAAATGTGGTTGTAGAATATTGATTTTGTATAATTTGAGGGACTTTCTTGGTGACCTAGTATATAGGTTATTTTTTACATATACTCCATGTATCCTTGAAAAGAAAACCCTGCACCTAGAGCATAAGCTAAAACAGATAAGCTTCCTATTATCTTTCTGTGCTGATGAGTGCAGGGCCCACCTCTAGCCCACCATTTTACTAAAGCAGTATTTCTTTAAGGGTCCAAGTACAATTGGGAGTCTCGATTTCATCTCCAAAGCCTTGTCTCCAGTCTCCCATAAACCTTCACTTATGACCCCTAGAGAGGTCTCTCACTATTTTCTGAGCTTAGGTTTCCATTTAAAAGGACATTTGTTCTATTTTACTCAGCATACTTACTTTAAAAGAGAATTTTAAGGTTATCAAATTATTGCCATCAAGAGTCAACAGAATTAAAAGTTTTTACATGGGTAAAAAGAAATGATTTAATAGATGATAATATCCAAAATACTGATTGTATAAAAGTATCTAGCCTTAAGAGTAATAATAAAAATTATTTTTGCTTTTAAAAATTAATAAAATTGTAAAAGCATTGAAAAGTCACAAGTACATGCAGTATATATCTTCATTGGTAAGCAGGGCTACATTTACTTTTGCTTCTATAAAACTCTATAAAGTGCTTCTTATATATTTCTGTGTAACCTATGTATCAGAGAAAATTTGTTTTCTTAATATCATGCATAATTGCTTTTTCCTTTATCTTCAATTTGTAGGAATATATTGAAGAGAATTTATTGCTTACCAATTTGCTTTCTATACTGATCAACAGGAAGTTTGACAGTGGCAGCATCTTTTCTACCCATCTTTGATCTCCAAAATGCCTGCTGAAAAGAGAGAAAACAAATATGATGAAATCTTTAAAAAAAAAAAAAAAGACTATCTACAAACTTCAGAAATAATTTATTGCATTAAATTCATTTTTAAAGCAATAGGTAAAAATGCATTTGACTTATTTCCATTAGATATCCATAAAGACAAAATCTTTTCAACTAAATTATCAAGGATACAATTGCTGGTAATTAAATTTCCCAATCATTTGTTCTTGGTAACATTCATTTTATCAAGTACCATCAATGCTCAATTAAACCACACTATTAGAGAACATTATCCATAAATTTGAAAATCAGGTACTATTTATTCAGCTGGGTTGGGGCTGTGGAAATGCTACTGGCAGCATGTTTCTTTCCAACTACCTACTATGTTACACAAAAAGTAAAGCTAAAGTTTGAACCTCAAGTATTTTGCATTTTGTTTTAAAAAGCATGACATATGCAACCAATGTCAATGGATTACAGAAGAAGATCATGTCTGTAAACAAGGATAATTTGACTTACTTCTTTCCAATTTGGTTGCCTTTTGTTACTTTCTCTTGCCAGATTCTCTGGCTAGGACTTCCAGTACTATATTGAATGGAAGTAGTAAAAGTGAACATTCTTGTTCCAGATCTTAGTGGAAAAGCATTTTTCGCTGTTGGTATTAGCTGTAGGTTTGTCATATATGGCCTTTATTGTGTTGAGCCATGTTCCTTCTATACCAAATTTGTTCAGAGTTTTTATCATGAAAGGTTATTGAATTTTGTCAAATACTTTTTCTGTGTCTATTGAAGTGATCATATTGTTTTTTTGTCCTTCGTTCTGTTAATGTGATGTATCATGTTTATTGATTTGCATATGTTGCATCTTCCGTGCATCCCTGGCTGAATTACTCTTGATCATCATGAATGATCATTATAATGTGCTGTTGAATTCAATTTACTATTACTTTGTTGAGGACTTTTAACATCTATGTTCATTAGGCATACTGACCTGTAGTTTTCTTTTCTTCTTCTTGTGTCCTTGTCTGGTTTTGATATCAAGGTAATGCTGGCCTAGTAGAATTGGTCTTAGTTCTTTAAATATATGGTAGAATCCAGCAGTGAATCCATCAGGTCCTGGGCTTTTCTTTGATGAGAGACTTTTTATTACTGCTTTGATCTCATTACTCATTATTGGTCTGTCCAGGTTTTCTATTTATTCATAGTTCAATCTTGGTAGGTTGTATATGCCCAGGAATTTATCCATTTCTTCTAGATTTTCTAATTTGTTGCTGTATATTTGTTCATAATAGTCTCTAAAGATTCTTTGTATTTCTGTGATATCAGCTGTAATGTTTCCTATTTGTCTCTCTTTTTTCTTAGTCAAGCTAAAGGTTTGTTGATTGTGTTTATCTTACCAAAAAAACAAACTTTTTGTTTCATTGATTTTTTTGTATTTTTTGTCTCAATTTTTTTCTGCCCCGCAAATCCTATTATTTTGATTGAATGAATTCAAATAATACAGCAGAGACTAAAACCTGCTCACCAAATCTATATTCTCCTTTTTACCTGGTAGAGTTAGACTCTATTTCCTAATGTTAATTCAAATATGTAATTTATTGTCAATGAAATATGAATGGAAGTGATGTGCATCACTTCAGACATTAACGTAAATAACTCCCATGAATAATTTTGTGTTCTCTTTTCCCCTTCCGATTGGCTAGAATGGAAATGATCCCCAGAAGAACCTTGAAGGTACGTTTGTAGAAATCTCAGTCAGCTTAGGGTGGAAAAGGCTACTCTAACTTGTTTACCACCCTAGTACTCTGAAAAAGGAACGAAATTCTATCATGGTTGAGTTGTTTCACATTGGTGGGGTCTACTTATCACATATATTTGTGCCTGAAAATTATTCCTCACTGCTTATAGTAAGGTACTACAAGATGAAGATGAGGTCAGGCAAGAACTGGTCAGTTCACAAGCAAAAATATAGAAAATAGAGAGTACAGTAATTTGGGTACTAAAGAGGTTGGAAAAGCCATCTTCTTCTAAAAACTAAATAGCAGCAAATAAAAGTGAAAAAGCCTTGAAGAACAAAGGCCCATTATGACTTCTCAGCTAGAGACAGAGAGAGAGAGAGAGAAAGGGACAGAAATAAACAGCAGATTAAGGGTGCTACAGTGTCACCTGAGCCTATTACTTCAGGTTACTCCAATGTAGACACTATTGGGTAGAAACAGTAAGGAAAGGAGTTCTGAAGCATAGAAAAAAAGCAGACATGAGAATTATGTCTACAAAAGAAATTGCAATGTTAACCACATGCACATGCAACTTAGTAGAAATGGTAAGAAGGTTAATAAAATTTGAAGGAATTATATTTACAAAGAAACCAGAAATTTTGTCTAAAAAAGTCTTTGAATGAAAACCAACTCTTGGGCATCTACATTTAAACCAGTAGATTGATTGCAGCTCTCAAGGAAGGCAAACTCTGCAGAGTTTATAACATCCAATTCATATGTGACCAGGAAGAGAGAACCATCCACAGGGGAGAGCCATGAAGAACGATGGACAAAAAGACCATACTTAGGGTCTAAGCAAGAAACTTCTACTGTAGTACAGTGGACCTTCTCAGTGGACTCGTGAGTAGCAGGTTTCATCACTGTGATGGACCAATGACTCCAGTGGGTGTTTCCTATTCTTCCCTTTACAAATGGGAATGATTACTGAAGATATGAAGCAGATAACTTCTGCTTCATCATTATTTCTTAGGGGTTTGGTGAGGCTGAGAGAGAGTAGGTAAATTACATAGCTGTAAACATCAAAGGACCACATGCCAGCTTGAGAGAAAGGATTGTACATTGGCTTGAGATCGTTGGCTTAGAGCTGGATACTATAAATGGGAAACTTCAGGTTCTCTCTACTGGGGAGGCAGGAAAAAATTATGTTTTTGGCTATTTCTGGACAAGAAGCGTTGACTATAACAAAAATTTTTGGCTGTTTACTAAAATACATGTTCTCCTTTTTTTCCTGGGTACACTTGACTATATTTCCCATCCTCCTCTGATACTAGCTGTGGGCACATCACTGATTTTCAACCAACAGAATGTGAGTAAATTAATGCTTGCTACTTCTAGAACCAATCTATAAAAACTTTCCACATGTACTCATTCATCTGGCTGAAATGGAGATGACCTCCAGGGTAACTTTGGAAATAATGTGATGAAGATGTCAGACCCTATGACAGCCTGGATCCTGAATGACTGCATGGAGGAGAGTTATCCAACCAACTTGTTTTTCTCTTTCATACTGCTGTGAGGACAAGAAATAAACTTGTAGCATTTGTGGTACTATGCATTTTTTCGCATCTATTTGTTACAGTAGTTTGTTATCACTGCAACTAAAATAAATATGTATAATGCAATTATCAG